CAGAGGCAAATAGAAGCTGCTTGCAAACTTAGTTTTTCCATATGATTGTATATATCTGCAGTGTCGTGACAGTATCTGATTCTGTTATATGATTTATGACTTTTTAAACATAGACATTTTTGTTAGAAGCAAGAGGTCTTACAGGCAGTAGTTCTCAGTTTAGCTTTGTATCAGAATCACTTGTGGACCTTTAAAAAAGGAAACTTAGTGCAGATGAAATATTTTACCACTATTGTAACACTTTTCCGCAATAGCAGAGTTGTGTAGTTGTGACTGAGACCATATTGGCTTGCAAAGCTTAAAATATTTTCTTTCTAGCTCTTTATAAAGTTTGTCAATCCTTGACAAAGAAATATATTGTTTGTAAATAAGAACAGTTTTATTTCTTTCTTTCCAATCTGTGTGCCTTTTCTTGCTTTATTGCACTAGCTAGGACTTCTATACAAAGTTGAGTAGGAGTGGTGACAGTGTACCTCCTTGCTTTGTTTTCAATCTTGGGAGGAAAGCATTCAGTGTTTTTACCATTAAGTATGATGTTAGTTGTAGGTCTATTATAGATACACTTTATCAGGTTGACAAAACTCCCTTATATTCCTCATTTTCTGAAAATTCTTAACATGAGTGAGTGAATGCTGAATTTTCTCAAATGCCTTTTCTTTTTTTTTTTTTTTTTTTAAAGATTTTGTTTATTCGTTTTTTTCCCCCCAAAGCCCCAGCAGATAGTTGTATGTCATAGGTTCACACCCTTCTAGTTGCTGTACATGGGACTCGGCCTCACGCTGGAGGGAGAAGTGGTGCCTTGGGGCGTGCCCGGGATCCGAACCCGGGCCGCCAGCATCAGAGCGCACGCACTTAACCACTAAGCCACGGAGCCGGCCCTCAAATGCCTTTTCTGCATCAAATTATATGATCGTGTGGTCTTCTTTAGTCTGTGAATATGGTGGATTACACTGATTGATTTTTCCAGTGTTGAACCATCTTTGCATTCCCTGGATAAACCCCACTGGTCATGATATATTATTTTTTGTATATATTGCTGGATTTGATTTGCTAATATTTGATTGAGGATTTTTGTCTATATTTATAATGGATATTGGCCTGTGGTTTTCTTTTCTTGTAATACCTTCTCTAGTTGTGGTATGGGGGAAGTGGTGGCCCCATGCAATGAGTTGGGAATTAGTCTCTTTCTTTTCCTTGAAGATAGTTTTTTAGCATTGGTGTTATTTCTTTTTAAATATTTAGTAGGATTTGTCATTGAAACCACATGGGCCTGGAGTTTTCATTTTCAGAAAGATTTTAACTACAGATGCAATTTGTTTAGTAGATATAGGATTTATCAGGTTATCTGTTTCTTCCTGGATAAGTGTAGGTATTTTGTGGCTTTCAAGGCATTGGTCTGTTTTATCTAAGTTGTCCAATTAATATGCAGAGGGCCGTTTGCAGTATTCTTTTATTATCCTTTTGTTGGGGTCATGGGGTCTGTAGTGATATCCACTCTTTTGTTCTTGGTATTGGTAATTTGTATCTTTTTTCTCTTTTGCTTTGTCAGTTTAGCTAGAGGTTTATCAATTCATTGATATTTTCAAAGAACTACCTTTTGGTTTCATTGATTTTTAAATTTTTTCTTCCTCAATTTTTATTGCTTTGTGCTGTTATCTTTGTTTCCTTCCTTCTGCTTGCTTTGGGTTATTTTGCACTTCTTTTCCTAGTTTCTTAGGGTAGAAGGTTAGATTATTGATTTTTGGATGCTTCTTTTCAAGTATAAGCATTTATAACTCAATATCCCTATATACACTATTTAGATGTATACCATTAATTTTGATTTGTTCTGTTTTCATTTTTCTTCAGTTCAAAATATTTTCTAATTTGAGCATTCTTCTTTGAATTTGATCCATGGATTGTTTAGAACTGTGTTATTTTATTTCCAAATATTTAGGGATTATTTCAGATACATTTCTGTTGCTGATTTCCAGTTTAATTGTATTATGGTCAGTAAACATATTTTTTATGATTTTGATTTTTAAAACTTTCTTAAAGTTTGTTTTATATGGTTTGTCTTGGTGAATGTGCCATGTGCATTTGAAGAGAATGTGTATTCTGCTGTTCTTGGGTGGAGTGGTGTATAAATATCAGATCTTGTTGTCGATGATGTTCTGTTCTTCTGTAACCTTATGGAATTTTTGTATACTTTTTCTTTTGATTACTATGAGAGGAATGTTGAAGTCTCCAATCATAAATGTGTATTTGTCCATCTCCTTTCAATTTTTACTTCATATATTTGAGACTCTCTTGTTAGGTGCACACACTTATAAGATTCTTATGTATTCTTGTTGCATTGGTCTTTCTAACATTGTACAATGTCTTTCTTTATCCCCAGTGATTTTTTTCTTGCTTGGTAGTCTACTTTGTCTTATATTAATATAGTCTCTTTAGCTTTCTCTTGATTAGTGATTTCATGGTGTATCTTCTTCCCTCATTTTACTTATAACTTGCCTATGTCATTATATTTCTTCCTTCCTTCCTTCTTTCCTTCCTTCCTCCCTCCCTCCCTCCCTCAGCCCTGAGCTAACATCTGCCAATCCTCCTCTTTTTGCTGAGGAAGACTGGCCCTGGGCTAACATCCATGCCCATCTTCCTCCACTCCATATGGGACGCGGCCACAGCATGGCTTGACAAGCGGTGCGTCGGTGCACGCCCAGGATCCGAACCGGCGAACCCCGGACTGCCACAGCGGAGCACACACTTAACCGCTTGTGCCACCGGGCTGGCCCTATATCGTTATATTTAAAGTGGGTTTTTTTGTAGACAGAATGTAGTTGTGTCTTGTTTTTAATATAATCTGACAATCTCTGCTTTTTAATTGGTATGTTTAGGCCATTTATTTTTAATATAATTATTAATGTGTTTGAATTTAGGTCTACCATTTTATTATTTATTTTCTGCTTTTCATTTCTTTGTTTCTCCTTTCCTGCCATCTTTTCGATTATTTGAACATTTAGTTAGTATTTCATTTTCACTATATTTCTTTCTTTCTTTTTTTTTTGAGGAAGATTGGCCCTGAGTTGACATCTGTTGCCAATCTTCCTCCTGTTTTCCTCCCCAAAGCCCTGTAGATAGTTGTGTGTCATAGTTGTACATCCTTCCAGTTGCTCTCTGTGGGATGCTGCCTCAGTGTGGCTTGATGAGCAGTGCGTAGGTCCGCACCCGGGACCTGAATTGGCGAACCCTGGGCCTCTGAAGTGGACCGTGCAAACTTAACTGCTATGCCACCGGGCCGGCCCCTACTATGTTTCTTTATATGGTTATTTTAGTGGTTGCTCTAGTGATTTAGGTCTCTGTTTCTCGAATGTGATGAAAATGCAATACAAATTTGGTTGGTTTAAACCTAACCACTTAACTTTTTAGGGCTGTCTTCTTTTATTCTCTATTTCTTTTTTTTTTTTTTTGGTGCGTGTGAGGAAGATTAGCCCTGAGCTAACATCTGTTGCCAATCCTTCTCTTTTTCCTGAGGAAGATTGTCCCTGGGCTGATATCCATGCCCATCTTCCTCTACTCTGTATGTGGGATGCCTGCCACAGCACGGCTTGACAAGCAGTGCACAGGTCTACGACTGAGATCTGAACCCGTAAACTCCGGGCTGCTGAAGCGGATGTGCGAACTTAACTACCATGCCACTGGGCTGACCCCCTTTTTTCCTCTATTTTTAATGCAGTGGACAATTTTAACTTTTATTATTTGCTAAGTGATTTGAAGATTCACCTGAAATTTGATATGTGGTTCATAATTAATTCTTAAAAATAGTGAATAATTAAAAGTTATATTTTTATAATTTAAAATTACAAATTTTATTTATTATGTTTAATCTTCTTAACAGTTTGGGGGTGGTATTATTTTTATTCTATTGATATAGATACTGTGACACAGCAAAGTTAGTAATTTGTCTAAGACCGTGCATCTTATTAGTAGTGAAATTTGAGTACAGACCCAGGTCTATTTGAATCCAAAATCCATGTGTTTTACCATTAGTCTAGTCATTCATTTCACTGATATTTGTTGAGTACGTGCTATATGTCAGGTACCGTATTATTTCTGATTGAAAATCAACATAGTCTTTGCCCTTATGGTGCTTACTGTCTTGTAGATGAGGCAGCCATTAAACAAATCAATATAATAACAAAAAAATAAATTTATTTTTATTTTTAAAAATAAGGGTGTAATTATATTGTGGTAAGTACAGTGAAGGGGAAGGACGGTATGATAAGAATCAAAAACATGGGGAACTTAGTTTAGATTTTTTTGTAGAAGTGACATTAGAAGTAAGGATCAAAATTGATGGGAGTTAGCAAAGAGCAGGAGGAAAAGCTGTGTTGGTGGAGAGAAAAGGGTGTCCTAAGGCCTTGAGTTGGAAAAGTATTCAAAGATTTCTGGAGCTGAAACAAGGCGAGAGTGGCTGGAATGAAGTAACAAACTTTGGGTATGAGATGAGGCTGGAGAGAGAGGCAGGGCTCAGTTTATCTAGGGCTTTGTAGGCCATGCTAAGTTGGTTAATTGGCAGTTGTCTTAATTTCTTCTTTAAAAACCATTTAGAATGTAAACGATTTATAAGGCAAAAACTATTTATGTCCATGCATTAGTTGACAGATGTAGCTGGTATCTCAGTGCAGAGTAGTCAGTCCTGAGAATCTAGCATCACTTGCTTATCTGTCTGCCCTGAGAATCTGTGGTGTCTCAGGTATTTCTGATAAAAAGAAATTGAATTCTCTCAAAATGGTTAGTAGGTTTCATTTTATTGGCTAAGATAATCCTAGAAGAACCATACATTTAGAATATCATGTGAAGAACAATGTGTTTTAAAAATTTTCTCAACTTCAGACATGCTGTAGATCAAACATGATGTGCTGCTCTTCATTTCAGCTCTTTTTAATGAACCATTGAAATGCTATCTTTCACTGTTTCCTTTGGGTTTCTAATATTGAAACTCATGTTTATATCTTTCTCAGTCTGAGGGAAAAGGCCATACCAATGCTGGAGATGCAATATATGAGGTGGTGAGTCTACAGCGAGAGTCTGAGAAGGAAGAACCAGTCACTCCTACCAGTGGAGGGGGTCCTATGTCACCCCAGGAGGATGATGCAGAAGAGGGTAAGAAGTGAACTTAGTTCCTTCTCTTTCTTTCTTTTTTTTGAGGAAGATCAGCCCTGAGCTAACATCCATGCCAATCCTCCTCTTTTTGCTGAGGAAGGCTGGCACTGGGCTAACATCTGTGCCCATCTTCCTCCACTTTATATGGGACGCTGCCACAGCATGGCCTAACAAGTGGTGCTTTGGTGCGCGCCTGGGATCTGAACCCAGGCCGCCAGCAGCGGAGCACCCGCACTTACCCGCTACGCCACGAGGCCGGCCCAGCTCTCTTTATATAGCTGCTTAACTTAAAATCCTCAAAGATGTATGTGTGTGAGTGTTTCTGTGCATGTGCAAGGAGTCGGGGAGGAGTGGTGATTATTCCTACTCTCTGCTACTCTTAGACTAGATTCTGCTAGATGCAGGAAAGAATTTGGTTCATTTGGTTCCTTGATTGCATAGTCCCCAGTGTCACTTATGCAACTATTTAAATTTGACAGCCTCACTTTGCTGTTTTGCTTCCCGTTTTATTTCAAGTATTTTTGAAGTGTTTAATGAGAAGTTTCAGATTCTCTCAAGTGTTTGTAGAATTTCAGTGATATGTCATGTTCTACTTCTCATTTGACATTATTCAGTTCTGACTTGTATTTTGTTGTTGCCTCATCACTTACCGCTCACTTTTTTGAAATAGCATGATATCTGCTCTGTTTACTACATGAATGCTGCTGAGAGATGCTAACCAACCTCATGAGAGTCACACTTCATTTGGCTCTGTGCTCAGTACTCTTTTTATAGAAACTAGAGCTAAATGACAGATCTTTGTTTGTTTTAAGTCCTTATATTATCTACTTATAGGGTAGGGTTTATTAAAAGTAATTTTCTGAATTTATGTCATCTTTGAAAAAAAAATCTTAGAATTCTCTGTCTTTCTCTCCATGGAACCATTCCTTTCTTTGATTGCCATAAAAATAATAATTTTCAGCTAATATTTATTGAGTGCTTATTATATACTAGACATTATTCTAAGTTTTTCATAAAACAACTTTATGAAGGTATAATTTGAATACAATAGAACTTACCTGTTTTAATTGTATAGTTCACTGAATTTTGACAGATGGATTCATCTGTATAATCTGACCACCAGAATCATGATATAAAATATTTCCATTAGCCCCCCAAAATTCCCTTGTGCCCTGTTACAGTCTATACTTTCTTCTTACCTGTGGTCCCTGGCAACTACTGATCTGTTTTCTGTCACCATGTTTTGCCTTTTCTACAATTTCATATAAAAGGAATCATATCGTGCATAGTCTTTTGTGTATAGAATCTTTCACATAGCATAATACTTTTGAGATTTATGTATGTTGTATGAATATTTGGTCCCTTTTAGTTGTTGAGTAGTAGTTTATTGTAAAGATATGCCACAATTTGTTTATTTATCTAGTTATCAGTTAATGAACGTTTGAGTTGTTTCTAGCTGTTGGCTATTAGGAAAAAGCTACTGTGAATATTTGAGTATGTGTCTTTGGTGAATATATGCTTTTGTTTCTCTTGGGTAAATACCTAGGAGTGGACCAGCTGGGTCTTATGGTAAGTGTCTGTTTAACTTTATAAGAAACCACTAAGCTGTTTTTTAAAGTAGCTGTATTTGGGCCGGCCCCGTGGCTTAGCGGTTAAGTGCACTCGCTCCGCTACTGGCGGCCCGGGTTCGGATCCCGGGTGCGCACCGATGCACCGCTTCTCCGGCCATGCTGAGGCCGCGTCCCACATACAGCAACTAGAAGGATGTGCAACTATGACATACAACTATCTACTGGGGCTTTGGGGAGAAAAAGGAGGAGGATTGGCGATGGATGTTAGCTCAGAGCCGGTCTTCCTCAGCAAAAGAAAAAGAGGAGGATTAGCACGGATGTTAGCTCAGGGCTGATCTTCCTCACACACACACACACACACACACACACACAAAATAAAGTAGCTGTACCATTTTTCATCCTTATCAGCAACATATGAGTCAGTTGTTCCATATCCTTATTAACATTTGGCATTGTCAGTTTTTAAAATTTTAGCCATTCTAGTGGGTGTATAGTGGTATCTTGTGATATTAATTTGAATTTCCCTAATGATTAATGACGTTGTGCATCTTTTCATATGATAGTTGCCATTTATATATCTTCTTGGTCAAGAGTCTATTCAAATCTGTTGCCCATTTTTAAATTGAGTTATTTATCTTCTTACTGATTTTATATATTGATAAAGTCCTTTATCAGATAGGTTTTGCAAGTATTTTATCCCACTCTGTAGTTTGCCTTTTCATTTTCTGAACAATGTCTTTTGAAGAGCAAAAGTTTAATTTTTATGAAGTTTAATTTGTCAGTTTTTTCCTTAATGATTTGTCTGTGATCCATTTAAATTTTTAGGTATGGTTGGAGGTAGAGGTCAGAGTTCTTTGGGCTTAAAAAAAACAAAAATCGTTTATTATCTTTTATGGTTTCTGTGGTTCAGGAATTAGGGAGTGGCTTGTGTGGGAAGTTCTGGCTAAGAGTTTCTTATGAAGAGTCAGATATGGTCTGGGGATGTAGTCATTTGAAGACTTCACTGGCCGGGGCTGAAAGCTTGGAGAATCTTGCAAGGGCCTAATTTACATAGTTGCCAAAGTGATGCTGGTGGTTGGCAAGAAATTTTGCTTCATCTCCACATAGGCCTTCCCATAGGGGCTGCTTGGGTGTCCTTATGGTATAAATGGGTAGCTTCCCATAGCTAGCAATCCAAGAGACCAAGGTGGAAGCTGCAAGGCCTTTGATGTCTTAACCTTGGAGTCACACAATATCACTTCCAGAGTATTCTATTGATCACAGAGTTCAGTGCTTACTTCCGTTGTGTGACTCCACTATATTCTATACAAGACTTTCAGGAACACTGTTGTGGTCATCTGCCTCCTAGCTAACACGAAGAGGAAAAGACCAGAGATCGTATTGCAGAATCACAGGAGAATTTTGGGCCAGACCTAGAAGCTGTCACATTTCTTTTTTGCTAAACAAGAACCACGGATGTGGTTGGGGAATGTAATTGAGCTATGCCCTTAGGAAGAAGAGTAAACAGGCATGACAAGCAAAAGTTATTTGATCATGAGATTTCAGGTAATGTCCTGCAAGAATGCCATTCCTTTTAGAATTGAAAAGTATATGGAGCTAGAATTGGGAAAGAACAAAAATAATAGAATGACAGGTGCTACTCAATAAGAATACATTATACAATTTAGTATCACATAATTATGTCTTTTATTCTAATTTAGTAAATAAAAGTTCCTCACTTCTATCCACTAACTTAAAAGAAAGATAACTAATGTGGATTAAGTATCTGCTTTGTGGCATATAATATATTAGATATCCAGTAGACGTAGTTTCATATTTTACTCACATTAGCCCTAAGAAATAACTGTTATCATCTTTATATTACATCTGAGGAACTAGACTGAAAAATTTTAAGGAAGTCATTCGAGGTCATAGGGCTAGTAAGTATAATATACAGAATTCAAACCTATGTCAGTCTCACCCTAAAGCCCTGTGAATTTTAATGACACAAAATCAAAGTATTCGTCTTTAAACTGCTGAATTGATATAACTCCACTCCTAATTGCTTAAGAGGTAGTATTTTTAACATTCCCTTTACAGACAAGATATTCTAGATCTTACATGTTCTAGATCTATCTAAAATCACAGACTTTGGATAGAAGGATATAATACAATATAATATAAAAATATAACATGAGACCTTATCTTCCAAACAGCATTGTTTTATGTGAAAGCATTTTTGAAGAGTGATTTCATGCGTGCAGGTAAACTAGTGCATTCAAAAAGAACTTTACATGTAGAATATTTAAATTATGTCAGCCAGAAGCCACTCATACTTCTTTAAAGGACATCTTGTAGAAAAATCTATTGGAAACCAAAATACTCTCTTTGAAAAGAGTCTTTCAGACACACAAGCATGCTTTTAGTTTATTTCCCTTGCATTTTTCCTGACATATTACTCAGTGTCATTCAAGGTTTGGAAAGGTGTTTTCTGATCCAGTGATAATTACTTTATGGGTGATGAGATTTGAAAGTTGTGCAGATGTGCACTTTAATGGAAAAGACATTTACTTATGGAAAGCAACATTGTTAGAAAACTGATACATTTAGGAGTAAATGGCAAACCAGATGATCCCAGTTGTGGCTCGTTATTAATCAGCAAAATATTCAGGATCATCCGCTGCCAGGATCTTAAAATCATGTAGGTAAGCGTTGGAAAGTCCATCATTTTTTATTCCTGGCAGAGAGCTAAATTGAGCTCAAGCTTCATTTTTGACATTGTCAAAAATTTGACAGAGTTCTTTTGACACAGTTGTGTCAAAATGGCTACCTCAAAATACAGGCAGAAGAGATAGATTTGAGAATATTCTAGGAGGTGAAATCAGTGAAGCTTATAAATTAATTGGATATCATGGACAGCAGAAGAGAAGGGAGGAGAAAGAATCAAAGGTTATATCTAGGTTTGTAGCTTAGGTGAATAGCTGATCTTGGTGCCAGCAAATGAGATAGGGAACACAAGAGGAGGAAGAGTGGGTTTGGGGGTGGGGGTAAGACTCATTTAGCTTTAGACATTGATGAGTTTGAACTCACTGTGGAACATTAAAGTGGAACTATTTTTCAGTTGTTAGAAATAGTCTTGGGCCGGCCCCGTGCCTTAGTGGTTAAGTGCGCACGCTCCACTGCTGGCGGCCCGGGTTCGGATCCCGGGCGCGCACTGACACACTGCTTCTCCGGCCATGCTGAGGCCGGGTCCCACATACAGCAACTAGAAGGATGTGCAGCTATGACATACAACTGTCTACTGGGGCTTTGGGGGAAAAAATAAATAAATAAATAAATAATTATTTAAAAAAAAAAAAAAGTCTTAAACTGTGAGAGAAGTTTTATACCGGGAGAGTAAGATTTGAGAATTATCAGCATGAAGCAATGAGAATGGCTGAAATTTCCTTG